TCGTTTCAACTGTTTCCGGTTGTTTACGCTTTCAGATATTTGTTTACAAACATCGCATACACTTCGACTCAACCTTTTTTTTCTCTGACAAGGATAATATCCGAAAAAGCGATGAAAAACGCACCGCGCAAATTTAAATAGATTACGGTCGGCAAAAATGTGCAAACACCACGACGCAAATGCGCACACAAACGTTGTTCTCGAAGCTTCTCTTGCATATTTCTTCACAAAAAACTCAAGCCAAAATGTCAATTTCGCTGAAAACCGACGATAAATCGATTCTTTCTGTGCTCCTTTATCAATTTCTAAGTGAAAAATCTGCATATTCATCGTTCAAAGAATTCAATAAAGTCGTCAAAGACAATTTTATCAGTCGGGATGATTTCAAATTTTGGTTCGACAGATTTTCAAGCGGAAAACTCGACGAAGAAGAAGATGATTTGTAAGTTTCAATTGTTTTTTCTTCGCTTTAATTTATCAAAGAATTATATCAGATCGATTTCCGATTTGAAAAGTATACTGTCCGATGACAAGCACCGCCTCAGAGCGTGCATTTTCTTCGAAACACTCAAAGAAAAAAGGAGCATCGAAAAATCCAACGACAAGAAAGTCACCGATGCTTATAACAGACTGTCCAAAGTGATCGATATCGATTTTTCGGAATTCTCTTCCTGGTTCAATCGATTTATCGGAGGAAATCTCAAATTGAAAGACTGCAAATTCTCGGATTTACCACTGGAAATTGTCGAGCAAGTCGTCGAAAATTTGGATTATTTCGGAAGGAGTGCCTTTCGAAAAGTTTCCAAAATTATGCGAAGTATTGTGGACGATGCAAAGGTGAATGTCGATTTTTTGAGAATTAAAATTGCCGAAACAAGTACTGCGATCGGTTTTGACTCTATAAGGCCTATTCGCTACTACCAACTATTTGGTCGATGTTATATGAGTCGTGGATTCGGAGAAAAGGAGCTGAAAGATCAAAATCACTGGGAATTGGCTGTAAACGAGTTGAAAATCATTCTAAATCACAAAAAATTCACCATTGACACTTTGAAAATTCAGTTCGCTTGTTTTTCGCATTTCAATCGATTCGGAAGAATTTTAAAGTCCCTCGATGACAAATTGCATGTCAGACACCTATTTCTGAGCTCAGATCTTGTGCATCCACTAGAGAATATTCTTCCATTCTTGAAACCGGAAATTCTGGAGACTATCAGCGTGAATTCCTACTTCTTTTGTGCGGATTTAATGAAGAGATTGATGGGAATGGATCAATGGAAGAATGCGAGAAATTTGGAGATTTATGGAATCCTATGTAATTTCGGATCTACTGAGAACGTTTTACATTTTGAAAATATCACTTTGCATGTGCTCACAATGGTTAATAATGAGGAATTGGCTCAAATCAAAAAGGTAGGCTTTTAGCATAATTGCAAGCGCCCCGGCCCGCGCAGATGGCGGGCCGGCTGATAGCGTGTCCCTAGATTATTCGGACAGTTTGGTACCAAATGATAGATCTCGACAGGGCCAATCACATCTATATAATTCGAGCCGGATTCCAGTCCGATAACATTACGAAAAATGTGTTTAAATGACAAAAAATGTGCCTTCTTTTGAGTTGGTCAAAAGTTGTCATTCAAACTCATTTTTCAACATTTTATCGAACCGGAATTCAGCTCGAATGATATAGGTAGGATGGGCCTTGTTGAGACCTATCATTTGGTACCAAAACTGTCCGAACGTCTCGTTCTAGGGACAAGTTATCAGCCGGCCCGCCATCTGCCAGGGTCGGCCCGCGTGACTTTTTTCCAAAACTGGAAATTCCCAAAAATGGCTCTGAATTCAAAAAATTATATTTTTCAGATTCTCCTCGAATCTTCTCAAATCGAAACCTTCTGCATTGATGTCTCAATTCGAGGAAAAATCGATTGGAATGTGATCGAAGGAGGTCTGGGACCAATAATTCCTGGAATCGATGGAATTCGCCGTCTTGTCAGCCGTAATAAGCAGCAATTTTATGAGATCGAAGAGGAGGAGAAATCCGTGAAATTCGTCCGCAAAACTTATTATTAAAATGTTTTACAACCCCATTTACTGTAACTTTCTTTTTTAATAAATTGTCGTTGCTGTTGAATTTTTTTTATCGATTTATTGATGTTTTCAGGTTTCTTCTAACTGCTGAAAGTCAGGCTACATAAGAGATCATAATGGACGGGACATCTTTTCTGACTCTCAAACTTGAAAATAAACTGAAACACATTTGAATTGCAGCTTTTCTGAGCAATGTATTGGTGATAAGCATCACCAGCGTAGACGCCGCTCCATGCTCTTGTACAATAAAAGTTAAATAGTGGGAAAGAGCTGAAAAATGCAAAAGTGCTCTATTGAAAATTGGGCGCGAGACTTCTTACAAGACCACTCGAGAAAGAGGAAGTTGGCTGCGAAGAAAATCGATAATGGAATGAAAATGAATGCGATATGGATGAACGCCTGGAACAATAAATTACAGTTTTTTTGATAGAATTTTTGGCACTATTCTGGATTTTTATATGTTTCAGGTCTGAAAATATTTTGGAATTTTTAGAACTCTAAAAAAGTTACAAGTCATCAATGTTTTGAATTTTTTGTTGAAAATCCTTGAAGTTCAGAGAATTGGATTCGTCAAAATTTCGAATTTTTGTGATTTCGAAAATCCTGAAATTTTGGAATTTCAGAAATTTCGCGAATTTCAAAATTCGAAAATTCCTTTTTTCTCTGAATTTATAGACTATCTCAAACATTTTTAGACTAAGAAATAGCCGGAAAACCGACGAAAATCGAGAAATGAATCTGTAAAAAATTCAGGTTACTGTAGTTTTCGTTTCGAACGTTTCACTTTAAAACCTAACCGCCCACTTTGAGCTCAATTATCTCGGTACCTGTAAGAGATATCAAAAAGTGGTCAACTGATAAAATGTTAGTGACATTATGATAAACATTTTATTAGTTGAACACATTTTTATATCATTCACAGGAACCGAGATGATGGAGCTCAAAGGGTGGGCTTCTCTGATTGAAGGCCACAGTATACGTTTACTTTGAGCTCAATTATCTCGATCCTTGTAACAGGTATCAAAAAGGGGTCAATTGATAAAATGTTGGTAATACTATGATAAACAGTTTATCAGTTGACTAATTTTTGATATCTCGTACAGGAACAGAGATAAATTTGCTCAATGTTGGCTGTGCCCTTCTATTGTAAGGTTCATAATGTTTTGCACTTTTTCAGGTCAAACGTTTGTTTTTTTGTCATGTTTTCATTAAAGGTGGGGGGACATGAAAAAAATAATGTTCTCGAAATTCCGTTCAAAGATGCCCCTCGAGGAGTTGAACTTGTGAGGGAGATGATTGAGGGTGCGGCGCCGCTACCGACTGAGCTACACGGGCAAAGAGAAAGCGTACGCCCGATTGCATACATAAAGGCGAGGACGACAGCTGTACGCAGAGTGACATTAAGCGTTGTACACCGTGACGGTAGAATGCATACTCTAGCTACAAAAAAACTACGAAAAATCTCCTGT